CACCCCCACTCACCACTGCACCCCCACTCACCATTGTGCCCCCACTCACCATTGTGCCCCCACTCACCGGGAGGTTTGACCTCCTCCGGGGTTTTCCCGAGGGCTTCACTGTGAGCCCAGCGGCCCTCAGGGCTGCAATCCTGGATTCAATGTCTGAAACCTGAGAGGACAGTAGACAGACAGCCCGTCAGACAGATGTTCGAGGTCCCACCTCAAAGTCATGGACAGAAAGAGCAGCTGCCCCAGCTCTCTCCTGGAGCCAATTTTACTTGTGTTTTCCCTTAAGATTGGCGTCCCAGCCCCATGCCCATCTTGGTGGTCCCCATGGCATTCATCTTCCGTGGTTATTATAGCGGGGGAGCTTTCCTTGTGGGCCGCCCCAGGCAGGAGGGGTGCATTTTCTGGAGTCTTAGGGAGTCTGGCTCCCATGAAGAGCTGGAGGAGGGGCCATGACTGGGGAGGACGGTGGTGGCTACTCTTCACCTAGCACTCGGCCACCCCCACTGGCATCATCCTTGCCCAGCTCCCCTTCCGCTCCTCCCCCCTGAGGCCACTCCTCCCACAGCAGCCAGGGCAGCTTCTGGAAACAGAAACCAGGCCCCATCACCCCTACTCAGACCCTTCCAGCCCACCCTCCTCACACTCTCCCCTCATCATCTGACCCGGTCTCAGACTGATCCCTGCACGTGCCAAGCTCACTGCCACCCCAGGGCCCTGGCACACGCTGCTCCCTCCACCCAGGCTCCTGCCTCCTGGATTTGCCAGGCTGGCTCATTTCCCTGGCATCCCTCCTGACCGCCTTATCTTAATCACCCTGCCCCGAGCACCCCAGGGGGCACCTTTACTGATGGTCTTCATGCACTTTACGTGAACCCAAAGGATCTGGTTTGTTTGTTTGCTATTTATCTCCTCCTACTAAAAACAGGAGCTCCAGGAAGGCACGGGCTTGGTCTAAGGCATTTGCAGCTGTATCTTCCGTGACCTACACAACGTGGCTGCATTCTAGGCATTTGAAGCTTATTTGCAGAGCAAGAAGGAAGAAACGAAGGGAAAGTCCAGAGCCTGACTTGCCCCCTCGATGGGAACAGCCCTGGGGGATGTGCCCTTCGTCCGGGGGAGTGACAGGTGCCTGCTCATGAGAAGGGAAGCGGAGGAGGGCCACGGGGGCTGGCTGTCCCCACAGCCTGAGGGGCAGACCCTCTCCTTTCTGTAGGTCTCCGGGGAGGACAGAGCATGCACACATCACCTCGGCTGTCCCTGGGAGGCCTGAATGCGTTGGCTTTGCCCTTTGACCTTTGTGCACTACTGATATGTTCATCACCCAGATTCAAGCTCTGCAGCCACACCGGGACTCACAGGTGGCCCTTGGGACAGAGTCCAGTCCTGAGTCTGGGGCTGTCCTAAATTCCAGGCCTGCTTACAGGTCAGGGATTGTGAGTGTTCAGTACTTTTTTCTTGGTAGAAACCCTGCCTGTCCCTCACCAAGTTGGAAAAAGAGAAGGGGTGGAGGGCTCAGGGGGTGGCGAGCCAGGTGAGTCCCATAGGAACCCCAGGTTCGTGCTTGGCCTTCAGAGACAGGCATCCCGGGCCAATGGGGAGGGCTTGGTGTGAGCTGTTAGTCAGATGGTCAACACCCAGCCACAGTCACCATCCGTGTTTGTGGAACCCCGTGCTTGCTCCCCTGTGCCTTCGGGGTACCTCGCTCTCTGCCTGCCGGACTTCTGAGGCCGTCACTGCCACTCTGTCCTCCAGCTCCGACAGCTCCTCATCTGTGGTCCTGCTGTGCTGGATGGGGTCCTTGGGGCCCTGACGGCCCTTTTCCTGTCTGTTGGTTTGATTGGCAGCCGTGCCCACCTAGGAAGAGAAGGATGGAGGCTGACCAGCTGCAGAAGGGGGTGTGGGGTCTCACCCAGACGGGGACTCGCCCTGACGTTGCTCTCCTCTCTGAACCCTGGGAGCTGCTTGGCCAGGAGCTGGCCACCCACCATGGACCCCATCAAGGGCTCTTGATGTCCCCACGCAGTGGCTGCCTCCCTGGGGAGGGTGGTGGCTACCCGGGACTGTCCCTTCCTGCCCCTCCCTCTGCAGGGTCCTGCTGAGACCCCTGGGGGTGGTCTCACCTCTGAGTCTGTGTGGCGGAGGGTCCCAACTGAGGTGCCCGTGTCAGGCTCTGCCTTTTCATCCTTGGTGTCCTCTTCCTCGGACGAGGCCCCCTCATCACTGACGTTGCTGGTCAGCTCCTCAAGCTTCCTCCTCAGGGTCTCCTCCTCCATGTCGGCCTCCGTGCGCACTCCAGCACCTACACTCTGACAGAACAAGCCAGTGGGTTTGCATTCGGCTAGCCATCTGGAGCCGTGGAGCTCAAGGGCTGGCTCTGGGAGGTGGGCCTGGGCCCAGCACCCCTGGGGTTCCCGCTGAGCTTGGGCTGCCTCCCTTCTCCTTGTGAGCTTGTCCACTGTGCCCCACTGGGGCCCAGTCCCAGACTCCAGAAGCAGGCTCTGCAGGGCCGGGGCTTCCCAGGGAAAGATGCCCACCACCCCTAGCTAAGACCCCTCTTTTATTTTTTCCTCTCATCCCTTACATCTAAGGGTGACACTTGTGTATTCCAGGTGGATGTCCTTACTCTATGGATGGGGAGAGGGGCGTGGAGTCATGGCTCTCTGCCCACTCTCTCTCAGGGAAGTGCATAGCTGGCCTTGGATGGTCCAGCACCAGGGGCTGTACCTTCCCACACTCTGACCAAGGACTGACTTAGCAGCTGCTGCTGGACAGTTCTCTGTGGCACATGGCTCTTGATCACATAAAAGCAGTGCTGGGCTGAGTGAGAAAGGGTCTCCTTCCACTGGCCGCCTTGTCTGTGGGCGGGAGGAAGGGAGGCTAAGGGCAGGCTTTGTCTGTTGTGGACACCGGCCTTTCAGGAAGGTTTTATGTGCCAGCTCTGAGAAGGTAACAGACTTAAGTGATAAAAACACAAAACCATCCCAATTGCCTCTTACAGCCATAGCGGTGCTAAGGTGTCTTGCTCTTTTTGGCGGAGGCAGCTCCACTCTTTAGAGCTGGCTTAGGCCAAGAGGCTTGCAGACATCCTGACTCTTTCTCTCATCCCAAGTAGCCATTCCTGTCGGCTCTGCCTTTGCGAGATCCCAGGATATGTCTGTCTCATTTCACTTGGTTGCTCTACCACCTTCTCCAAGCCAGCCCTGCTGCCTCACTCCCACTCCACAGCCTGTCCTCGGGAGGACAGCCGGAGCAACCCCGTGCCCTCAGCCAGCTGTCTTCTGCTCAAGCCTCCCCAACTCTCCCATAGTAAAGGCAGAGCCTGGGAGGCTCCGTCTTGTCTGACTCCGGCACTAGGCCCAGCTCCAGCCTCTCTGCTCCCAGGCCTGCCTCTGTCTCACCCGTCCTGGCCACACTGTCTCCTGCAGGTGTTTGCTCCTTGGGACCATAGGAGGGGCTGCCACACTCCATCCTAGACAGCCACATGGCAGTTCTGGCACCTCTGCCAGCTCTTTGGGCAAGTCTCACGCTCAGTGGGAGGCGTCTCGTTTGAAAAGGCACCCTCACCCCAGGGACCTTCTGCCTTGATTTATTTTTCTCTGCCTTCCCCCACCTCCTGACCTGTGTTCCACTTGTTGGGTTGTGAAGGAAACCAAAACATGTCACCCCAGAATAGACTTCTGGGACATATTTCCAGCTGTTTATTCAGAGAAGCTGCAGACAGGATTGCTCCGAAAAGCTGTCTTTTTTGGTGGTGGGGATTTCATCTGTGGAGGAAAGCTACAGGGGTGAGCTGAACACCAGGCAGATGGGCTTTTCTGAGATGGGCTTTCTCGGTGCCTTAAAAGGACACTGATGCCTGACACTTACGTGTGTGACAGGGACGCTCCTGTCACACCTTTTGTGCCACCTTTTGTCCCTTCCTCTGGGAGATGCCACCTCCACTGACACTGGGGGCTGGGAGGGAGGGAGGGAGGGAGGGCAGGTGCCTCCACCAGGAAGTTACTCACAGGCCACGGCACCCCTGGGCGGATTCTTCAAGGGCAGCTCCAGGTTAGTTGAGAGATATTTAACTGCATAACCAGAAGCCCTTCCTCTCCTCGCCCTCCGGTGACCCTGTCCCCACTGCAACCCCTCAAGAAGCCCTAAGCCCTGTCCATCCTGTCACCTTGGGTGTAAACCTCAGTCGTCTGTCCCTGCTTGGAGCCCCACATTTGCAGGACTGACATGTTCATGTGCACAGTAACACATGGTTGGTCTTTTCCCTGTGACCCTGTCTGTGATGAGTTCCCTTCAGCAGACGTAGGCCCCCTTTCTGAGGGAAAGCTGGACATTCCTGCGGTTGCGTGTTTCCCGCCTCCTGAGTGGAAGGCAAACGCCATGAGGCCTGCATTTTTGTCGACTTTGCTCACGGCCACCTCCCCAGCATCAGGAGCCGGTGCCGGGGGCAGAGTGGCTCCCTGTGTCTCCCGACTCTTCCCAGGTGATGAAGTCACACAAGTTAGCATCATGGGAAGGAAGACAGCGCTCATTTCCTTGTCTGCTCGTTCACCTGTTCATTCACTCATCCATCCCACAATCCAAAGGCTTTCCCCTGGCCCCATGAAGTCAACTTTGACGCGTGAGGCCAGGGCCTCAAGGAGATGCCACCTGAGGAGTTTGAGTGCCACCTTTTGTCCTTTCCTCTGGGAGATGTCACCTCCACTGACACTGGGGGCTGGGAGGGAGGGAGGGAGGGAAGGTGCCTCCACCAGGAAGTTACTCACAGGCCACGGCGCCCCTGGGCGGCATCGATCCCTCCCTCACTCGCCAAGCTGAGGATATTGCACACGATCATTTAATTTTCTATTTGGATGAAACCTATTGAGACAGATCGACAGGTCTTGCTGCCTGGGGCCTCACAGACAAACACCAAGGGGATGATTAGATTGCGTCGATGAAGAAGCTGCATGTTTTAGCCAGGATGCTTCTCCACGAGGCTCCACTTTCCTGACAAAGCCCCGAGTCACAGAGGCCCTCAGTGGAAAGATCGGCAGTGATGTTCAGCCTGTAAATGCTATTGGGCCTGATATGAGCTGAACTTTGTCCCAGAGTGCATGGGGCTGAGAAACTGCAGAATCCCCACAAGGAATGGAAGCCCAGTGCCCGTCAGGCAGGACGCAGCAGAGTGATGGCGTGAGGGGGTGGGAGCTGGGGGATGCCTTGGAGAGGCAGGGATTGTCTTTGCTTTGTAAGCCTGTAAATAAATGAACACACACACCACATGCACACATATACACATGTACATATGGAAAACACATGACAACATGTGCGTGTGACAGGGACTTGAACCAGCACAACAGGACACAGCCAGGGCGACTAACTTGCCCTTGTTTGCCAGGGATTTCCAGGTGCAAGCCTTACGAGCCCCAACTGGGACACTGGCTGCCCTAGATCGAGCGTCGGCAAGGTGGAGGGCCTGCTGCCTCTCAGGCCCAGCTCCTCGACAGCCCAGAGGGCCATGCCTGCAAGCATTGTCCCCTCATGGGGAGTGTGCGGGCAGCGCAGGTCCCATGTGGAGTCTGTGACTTCTAACTTACTTGTCCCTGGGCTGAGATTTGTATGAGCAAAAGGCCAAAGCTAGGAGGCACCAGTGAGAGCCAGAGTGAGGGTGGCCACCTTTCCCTCCGCAAGGGTAACCTGTTTCTGGGTGGGCTGCTGCCAGGGCCAGGCAGGCTGCAGGGCAGTGGGTCCCAGGTGCTGCTGAGGGACCAGCAGGGATGGGAAGGAGTTGGGCAGGAAGTGGGTAAAGGAGGTGAGTGACGGATCTCCAGTGTCCACCTGAGAGGCAGAGCCGGGGCCAGAGTGGGACCTGGGGCACTCGGTGTTCAGCAGGGTCCTGGGGGCGGCCTGGGGTCTGGATGGATGGATATGGGCCATGGGGTCTGATGGGGCTCTGGAGCTTGTGTTGGGGTCACTCTGACTCCAGTGCAGGCGAGGGTCCTTCCAGAGGCATCCCGAGGGGAGGAACGCTCTTCCCAACCTCGCTGTGCTTTCAGCCAGCCAGTGATGGGCTGAGTCTCACTCATGGGACCCCAGGCTTCAGTTTCCTCATCTATAAACTAGGGACAGACATGTCTACTTTGCAGAGGTATTGCAGGATTAAACGAAATTATGGCACATGGTCAGCCTGGCCCTAGCGACCCGTTAAAGCATACAGCACAGTACTCCATCCCCCTATAGAGAGAGGCAGCTGCGGTCCCTGCTGGACACATGGCATGTGGGCTGGGCCTCAGTCTCCCTCCACTTTGGCCAGGGTCAGGGTCTGCGCAGGGGTACCCTCTGTGGTCTAACTTGGGACCTGTGTGCTCTGCTCCCCACTTGGTCTCATTCCGCCAGCCTGAGCTCCACCCAGATCTGCTTCTCTGCAGTCTTGGCCCCAAGAAAAATGAGCAGCGGCAAGGAGCGTCCCGTGGAATTAAGTCATTCACACTTAAAGCTGCTGGAACTTTAAATCACCGGGAGCCTTGAGGGCAGCTATGTGGCCTGAATCAGCAGCATGCACCTTCCGTTTCTGCTTTTTCCTGTAGATGATTAGGAAAGACTGAGGGACACCAGAGATGAGACCCCCTCAAGATCATTACCCCTACTTGTGGAGTGTTCAAGCCATCTTCCTCAAAATTAGTAAACTGTAACCTGTGAACCGCTACAATATAATTACGGGCATTGTATGGAAAATGCTGTAACACTGAGAAACTTCTGTTTCGGCCTATATAAGCGAAACTTCAAATTCTCCGCTTTGGAGCACTAACCCCATTCCTTTGAAGTCTGTGTGGCCCAGAAGGCTACCTTCAAACTTTGTGCTCCAATAAACTCAATACTTAATCGCATTTTCTGAATCTCCTTATCTCAGTGCCCAGGTGCTAGATGTGTAACTCAGCTGGCATGGAGGACTGGGTCCCCCCGTCCCTCTGCACTCCCAGCTGTCTATCTGCCTGTCTCTCAGACACAAAAGCACATACACACACATGCACGTGCACTCTTGCAGCGGGCCATGGTCTGTTTTATTTACTCCCCATCAGGTTGCCTTGGTGTGCTGTTGTGGTATCAATGTGTCCCCTAAAGTTCATGTGTTGGGGATTCAATCCTCAGTGCAATAGTGTTGCGAGGTGGGGCCTTCAAGAGGTGATTAGGTCATGAGGGCTGTGCCTTTATCAATGGATTAATGTCACTATTGAAGGAACGAATTTGTTATTCATTCCAGGGTGGTTATAAAAGAGAGTTCGGTCCTGCCTTGCTTTCTGTCTCTCCTGTGCTCTATCACCATGTGCCACGTGGTGACACAGCAAGAAGGCCCTCACCAGATGCCACCCCTTGATCTTGGACTTCCCAGTCTCCAGAACCATGAGCCAAATACATTTCTGCTCATTATAAATTACCCAGCCTGTGGTATTTTGTTACAGCTGCACATAGCAGACTAAGCTGTGCTGATCATACATTCACAAACATGGTGCAGAGGGAGACTCCCTCCTGCTTTGGTTGCTGGACCTCAGAGCTGCTGGGCCAAGCAAGCTTCCTCCCATCTCCAGTTATGTCCCCTGGGCAGGCTGTTACACCTGTGCACCCTCCAAGCTGTCTCTCTTTCAAGCTCTGGGTATGAGGGGTGATGGCAGGCCTGGATGGGACAGATAACTTCACTCAGGATATGTGATAGGAATCATCTGGCCCTCTGAGCACTGCACACAGAACTCAAGCTTACAAACAGCAAAATCTCAAGAAACTATTCTCCCAAAAGCCCATGTCACACCTTAGCCTCCTTTAACTAAAGAGCCGTGGGGGCTCTTTCTCCTTGCCCGGCCCCTGGTGTTACCTTGGCCAAGGGAGGCACAACTGTGTTCTCCAGGTGGGTCAGCAGGCGTTCCACAGCTGAAATACGCTTATTCAGCTCAAAGATCTGCAGCAGAGGGAGAGAAACAGTAGGCAGAAGACCCCTGGCTCCCACCAGCAAGACTCTGGCACCCACCACCTCAGAAGCACCAAATTCCCAAGAAGTGGAAGGAGAGCTAAGGCCACCAGCCATGATGTGGCCTGGGAAGGTTAACCGTGAAACCTATTTCTGACACCAAGAGTTCTGGAACACCAAGCAAAATCTTGGAGTGAAACCAAGAGAAGGGAGAGTGGGGAGGGTGAAAGCAGCAGGAGAGGAGCTGAGTTCAGCAGGACAAGGAGCTGAATCTGGACGGTTGTGATGGTGTCATCACTGCGGACAGCCACTGTTACCACCGATACTGAGCAGCACAGGAAGACATCAGTTAATTACGCCACAGTGATCAAACTTACAGTCATTAGCTAGCAAGAGCCTTGGGTTGCTCGTGGGCTGGGAGGCAAGGCCCTTCAGGCGACAACCTAAATGGACCAGAAGTACGACTTGCTCATCCCTTGAGTCACCAGACTCTTGAGTCACCCAAAGTCTATTAGCTCCCAGACGGAGACATGAGAAATCAATTTTCTAGTTTTCTTCCTTGCCCAGCGATGCATCTTTCCTGCCATTATCTCGTTTACGGCTCACCTGGCTTTAAAAGAGGGAAGTGGTGCTTGTGGGATGTTAAGATGTTTTGCGCTGTTTGGTCCGTAATTACTTTAATCTTCACAGCACCAAGGGCTTTGAGTGGGCAAATCTGCCCGAAGAACATGCTTGGCTGAGAAATGTCAACACTAGGGTTTTGGCCCATGCCTTGAGGAGCCACTGGTAATAGTCATGAGATTCAGAAAATATGAGTAAGTATTAATACACCAAGTTTATCAGAACAAAGGCTTGACGGTGGCCACCCGGAAACACGGACCCCAAATAAATGGGGTCCAAAGTGGACTAGTGGTTTCACCTACATAGAAATTTTAGCAGGATCACAACCTTGCAGAGGAACAGTGACCTGGGGGGCCTCTGGTGAGGCCTCTGGTCCCGTTGAGCATCTGCAGAAGCAGAGATCAATACTCTGGGGAGAGAGCACTCGGCAGACAGCCTCTGTCTCCCAGAAGCGGTAGGCTTGGCACACATGGGGACTCAGGAGAGGACAACGGCCCCCCAGCCAGCTGGGAAATGTCACATTCAGAGTAGAAGAGATGGGGAAATGCCCACGAGGAGAAAGTGGAGGCAGGGTGGAGGAGGCCAGGGTTGGGGGAGGTGGGCAGGAGCTAAAGGTGGGTGGGGGCAGCTGGGAGCCAGGGAGAGGCCAGCAGGGAAGAGTGGGAAGTGAGCTCAGCACGCTGCTTTCTGACAAGGCTCTGGCAGTGTCCAGGCTCCTTTGCTGAGGAGGTGGCAGCACAGACACAATGAGTATGATGCCACCCTGGCTCCAGGAGTGCTGGGCCCCTTTCAGACAAGCCCACAGGGCAGATGCAGCAGCTCCTCCGCTACTCCTGAGTGCCCAAGTTGTGTGGGGGTGAATGCAAACCTGCTGGTGAAATTGGGCACTCATTGCACCTGTTGAAAATAGAGAAGTGACTTCTCCCCACTGCCCCCTTTCTTTCAGAGCTCCTTTCTTTGCTTTTTCCAAATACGTGTAAATCTTTATAATGGCGAAAAAGCCTCTGTCCAGTCTCAAAACTTGACCTGGGAACTGTGTTTTTGAAATGGAAACATCCCTGGAGATAACCCTTGCTCCCAGATCCCAAGAGGGGGTTAAGAGGCTAACTTCTACCTTTTTTATCCTCCTTTAAATAATTAAGACCAAACAGCATTAGAGATAAGGGCCCCCCAGGTCTCTGTTCCTCCGCGACGCTGTGATCCTGCTAAAGTTTCTACATAGGTGAGACCTTCACTAGTCCACTTTGGACCCCTCTTGTTTGGAGCCTGTGTTTCCGGGTGGCCATGTCAAGCCTTCGTTCTGATAAACTTGACTTATTAATACTTACTCATATTTTCTGAATCTTATTACTTAGGTTTGACAAAGTAAATACAAGTTAACAGGAACACATAGAAACAATTCCAGAGGCAGGATATACAAACATGAACTTGAGAATCGTTCCAAGCAGGTATAAAGGATAATTGGTTTCAGCAGGGTTGGATACCACTATGTGTATTTTACTAAAGGCTAATAAGTTGCTAAATTAAAGGTTTACTGAAAATAGACAACTTGATTCTCATCTTCATCCCACTGTCTTCAGACTAGGAAGCTGGAAGATGCTCAGCCAGCCATGGATCTGTCTACCTGGCCACCCCGGGAGGTCTCTACCTGGCCACATAGGGGAAGTCTCTACTCTGGCCACACTGGGGGTCTTTATCCTGGGCACACTGGAGAGGTCTCTATCGTGGGCATACTGGGGAGGTCGCCATCCTGTCCTCACCAGAGAGGTCTCTATTCTGGCCACCCTGGTCCTCCACTGTCCCCTGCAGCCACAGGTCCCTGTATGAACTTGGCTGAGTCGCCTCTTCCCCTTTTCTCAGAATAACTGTAGAATGTGCCAAGAAAGCCACCTCCTGATATCAGGAAGAACTGTGTGGACTGTGCAGAGCCCAGGCTCTGGAACTGGATTCCTTTGGCCCACTGATCCCAGTTTCCCAGGTCTCTGCCCTGGCCACCCTGAGTCGGCTTTCTGGGATCCCCCAGCTGCCGCATGATGTGGGGCACTTGCCTCCGAGACTCTACCCTTCCCGCAGCTTCCCTGAGCCCGGGGGCCCTGCTGCCTGTCTGTGAGTCATGAAGTTGCTCTGCCCGACGTGTGCGTGTTCCATTTCACAGAAGTAGACCTGCCAATGCAAGTGTGGAGGCGTGACCGCTGTGGCACTGGGGCTCCCTTGAGTCCCGCCGGAGCTCAGCACACCTACAGTTTCCAAGTCCTCCCAGGATACAGACATGGCAGGGGCCAAGCCAGCCACTCCCTGATTTGAATCAAAGGACACTTCCTTGCATCAGGGCCTTGCTTGCTGTTACATAAAAGGAGTCGTATGCCTCAGGAACTGTGGGCCTCAGGAGGTGAAGCGACCATAAGCAGTCTTCACGCAGGCCTTCTCAGGGCCTTCATGCCCAGCTCTGATGGGGCAAGGGTGCTTCTTTCAGAGACTAAGTGGGCCCTCAAGGAAGTTGCTGCAGGAGAAACTTTCAGACCAGGGCTGAGGAAGCTTCTAAATGACAGTACAGTAAAAAGCCAGCTGAGGGCACTGACTCCAGAGAGATGCTAAGTTCAGAAACTGCACGCTTCTGTCCCGTGGACACTAGCCCAATTCTAGGACCCAAACCCCTATGATTTCCCATAGGGCCATGCTAGAAAGGCTCTTTGTGAAATTTTGGTGCTCATTTTCAGCAGATCATTTCTCTGGGTGCAGAAGCGAAGTGACAGGAGGTTGGAAGAGTCCCTTACCAACCATGCGTGTGAAGGTCTGGCCCTGTGAGAACAGCCACAGGACAGATTTCCTGCTGGATGGGGGCTCAGAAAAGCCTGGGGCCACTGGGTCCTTTTCCCCGTTGCCCACTCCTGAGCCAGTGCTAGCCTAGTGGCTGCCTTGGGACGGGGGTCTGCAGCCCTGTGGCTGTAGAGCTGGCCGATGCTTCATCTCCGGTAGTCCTGTGCACCGAAGGACCAGGGCGCTGGAGAAACCCTAGACCCTGTACAACAGCCTCCTCGTGCCCCGCCCAGCTCTCCTGCCCCTCGAGAACCCCAGCCGTGCACCCTCTGCCTCCTTGCCACATCCAGGCCTTTCCTGACAAGCCTCAGCATTCACTTAGCCTCCCTCCTGACAGCCCAGAGCCCATGGGCCCTGAAGGGAAGCTCCACAGAAGCATTCCCTTTCCCAGATCTCCCAGGAGGAGGGAGGAGGGGCTCTGTGCCAGGTACCACCGTGCCCACGGAGCTAGACCTGCACTCATCCAGGCTCCAGAAGATGTGCCTGAGACCAGCCCTGGTGATGCTGCGGTTCCTGTCTCCATTCAGAGCGGCGCCACTCCCCCTCTTCTGGGTTTCGTGCCTCTAGGGTCATTAGTTACAGAACAGCCCCCCATCACATGATTACAATGCCGGAGTCAAGGCTCTATCAGAGACATGAATAGCCTGTGTCTTTCTTTGCCTTAAACAATCTAGTGGTCATGATGTTCTCAGATGAAACAATATTGCCTTTCTCCCAGTAATGTGAACTTGCTCAAATAGAAATCAGCTGACTCAACAGAATCATTTAGATGCAGTGAGGGGAATTCAGGGTACTTAAATAAATCTTGTGATGAACTTTTTAATAAGTCAATGTCTACAGTGTGAGTGATTCTACTAATTTAACAGGTGTTAAGTATTATGAGCAGTTTCTTAATGCCTATATAATGCCTGCTAAAGGGCTGGGTGCGGTAGCTCACGCCTGCAATCCCAATACTTTGGGAGGCTGAGGTGGGTAGATCACTTGAGGTCAAGAGTTCGAGACCAGCCTGGCCAACATGGTAAAACCCCCTTTCTACTAAAAATACAAAAGTTAGCAGGGCATGGTGGTAGGTGCCTGTAATGCCAGCTAATCAGGAGGCTGAGGCAAGAGACTTGCTTGAACCCAGGAGGCAGAGGTTGCAGTGAGCTGAGATGGCACCACTGCACTCCAGCCTGGGCAACAGAGCAAGGCTGCTAAATCTAAGAGTGAGCTACGTCTTGCTTTTTTATTTTTAAAAATAAAACCTAAGGGTTTCACATACCTGACAGATTATTTCCTCCTCTTATAAAATATATAATACTTGATTGAGTATAAAAGATGTATTTTCATGAAAAGGCATGAGGCACTCATATATGCTACAGCATGGTTGGACCCGGAGAGCATTCTGCTTAGTGAAAGGAGCCAGTGACAATAGGCCAGATGTCCTCTGTGAGTCCATTTACATGAAATGTCCAGAATAGACAAATCTATGGAGACAGAAGGAAGACTGCTGGTTGTCAGAGGCTGGGGCAAGGGAGATTGGGAGTAATTGGTTAATGAGTGTGCGATTCTTTGGGGGCTGAATTAGAGGTGGTGGTTACACAACACTATAAATGTACTGTCACTGAATTGTATACCTTAAAAGTTAATTTTTTGGCTGGGTATGGTGGCTCACACCTGTAATCTTAGGGAGGCCAAGATGGGTGAATCACCTGAGGTTAGGAGTTTGAGGCCAGCTTGGCCAATATGGCAAAACTCTGTCTCTACCAAAAATACAAAAATTAGCTGAGTGTGGTGGTGCGCACCTGTATTCCTAGCTACTTGGGAGGCTGAGGAGGGAGAATTGCTTGAACCTGGGAGGCGGAGTTTGCAGTTAGCTGAGATGGCGCCATTGCATTCCAGCCTGGGCCACAGAGTAAGACTACGTCTCAAAAAAACAAAAATCAAAAAAGAAAACTAAAAAATAATTTTGAAGACTAAAGATTATTTATTTTCTCCTAAATTCCATAAAATATGTTACTTCTTTCAAATTTTTAAATTATAAAATACTATATTAAAACTCTATCCTTTTAATCATTTTCAAGGTATTAAGTATATTCACATTGTTGTATAACTGTCACCACCATCCATCTCCAGAACTACTTCATCCTGCAAAACAGAGACTCTATGCCCATTCAGCACCAATTCCCCAACCCCCTGACCCAGCCCCTGGTGACCACTATTATAGTTTCTTCTCTATGAATTTGACTAAGAACCTCAGATAAGTGGAACCATACAGTCTCTGTCCAAAGTGACTGGTTTATTTCACTTAGTATAATGTTCTCAAGGTTCATCCATGGTGTAGCATGTGTCAGCATCTCCTTCCTTTTCAGGGGTGAATAATATTCCATGTTGTGTATGTGCTGTGTTTTGTTTACCTATTCATCTGCTGACGGATGCTTGGGTTGCTTCCACCTTTTGGTTATTACAAAAAATGCTGCCATGAACACGGGGACACAAATGTCTTTTTCCGTCCCTGATTTCCAGTTTTGGGGGCGTAAACCAAGAAGTGGAATTGCTGGATCACATGGAAACTCTATTTTAAATTATATGGTTAATTATTATTAACCATACCGAGATGGTTAATTTTCTGTTATGTGAATTCAGTCCCATAAAACATACTGTGATGACCTATCTCCATTAAGTAGGCTCGTGGAATTTCACACCCTAAAGGTATTGAAAGCTTTAATTTCTCTGAAGTGACTTGGTGTGGAGGTGAAAAGACTCCACCCAAAGAAAAGACAAGATGGAAGCCTCTCCAGCCACCATTACCTGACTGTCAGAGGACGCCCGGCCTCTCCGCTTGGAATGACGGGAGGTCGCCATGGGAGCCCAGATGCTTTCCTCGTCGGAGGTATCCACGTCGGCCAAGTACTGCGGGGGCAGCTGCTCCTTCCTGATGACATTTGGCCCTTTGGAGCAAGAGTGGGTTTGAATTACTTGGCGTGAAAAGCTGAAAGCCGATGGACGTGTTTAGTCCAGTGAAGAAAAATGAGAGCTCAAAGAAAATAAAGACAAAATGATGTCCCTCTGATGTCACAGGGATGAGGTTCCAAAGTCACAGTAAGAATGGAGCAGATTCCACGACCACACACAGAGATCTTCAGGAAAAAAGAGGCCTTCGCCTGACATTGTAGGTGGGAATTAAGAGTGGACATATTTTGCATGCTTGCAAAGCAAAGTAACATGATTCCCAATTTCAAATTGCAAATAATGCCTGATTCCATGAGGATGAGATCATAAATGTATTGTTTTAAGCCACATTTTACATTTGTGATAATTTGCTATGTAGTCAACAGATTCAGCCATCTCATTTAATCCCTATGACAATGGGGTGAGTTAGGTGTTATTAACCCCTTTTGCACAATGAGGAAATGGAGGTGTCCAGAGGTTAAGCAATTTGTTCTGTCAGTGTGGCATATCTCATTGAATCTCAGACTTTGCAGATTGGATGTTGCACTCTTAAGAGAGCGACAGTGGCCGGGTGTGGTGGCTCACGCCTGTAATCCCAGCACTTTGGGAGGCCAAGGCGGGTGGATCACGAGGTCAAGAGATCGAGACCATCCTGGCCAACATGGTGAAACCCTGTCTCTACTAAAAATACAAAAATTAGCTGGGCATGGTGGCACGCACCTGTAGTCCCAGCTACCCAGGAGGCTGAGGCAGGAGAATTACTTGAACCCGGGATGCGGGGGTTGCAGTGAGCCAAGATTGTGCTACTGCACTCCAGCCTGGCAACAGAGCAAGACTCTGTCTAAAAAAAAAAATAAAATAAAGGAGACAGTGCTGCCAATGAGACTCAAGCACACCCCTTTCTTACCACATTCACTGTAAGATACTTGGCATTTGAGAGTTGATATGTCAAAAGAATGTATGTGAGAACCAGTGAAGCAAACTGGCAGAGCCTGGCTCCAAACTCAGAACTGCCTGCCTCCAAGGCACCTCTCCCAGCACGATGCAGGCTCTCGTGGCCTCTCCCCAGACTGCCTCCTGTCCATGCGCTCAGGGGACATGAGATCACAGAGGGAATAAAACTGCTGTCCAGATCTGGATCCTATGGTCTGGCCAAACCATTTATTCATCGTTTTGGGGGAAAGTAGAGCCCTGCCTTCCTCCCCAAACCTCCAAGGTCCCTGTCAGCATGAGGGCCATGAGATTAGGGTCCCTTCAATACAGTGAAGAGGGAAGCTGGAGAGTAGATGGCGTTCCCACATGCAGCCACTCGCTGTGGCTACTGCTGTGATCCTACTTGCTCCTGTTCTGATGGGGCGTGTGAACTCCTAGACCCACAGTACACACTACTCGGGTACCGGAAAAGAGAGATTTGGGGATTTCATTTCAAAGCAAAACTGACAACAAAGTTAAGCCAAGCAGATTTAGTTTCTCAGTGCTTAAAGATCTCCTGATCAACAGCCTTGAGCCGACTCTGGGCTGGGGTGGCGGTGCCCAGATGACCGTCTTGCCCAGACCAGGATGGTGGGTCGGTTGAGCGGTGGTTCTAGTCATTTCAGGAGGCCTGCGTGTCCCCAGCCCAGGCCAGCAGTAGGGAGCTGTGAGCTGGCCACCTCCTGTGCTGGAAGTTCTGAGAGTTACAGGGAAGCACACATCCCAGGGAGGGCAGGGGCCCACAGCGTTTGTTGGGACTGCACGTCCCGGACAATCGTGCCAAAGGAAGGGGGCTTTCACATCAGCCATGTGTTGGCATAGGTCAGGGTGGTGGGGTTGTTTCTCAGTGACCCCCTCCCGCATGCTGAGCCCATCAGGAAGACCCTGGCCAAGGGCACCTACCTAGTGCAGCAGCAGTCCCCAGGGCCAGCCCGTGGGAGCCTCCAGGCAGGGAGAGCTCAGTGAGGACGCTGTGTCCAGAAGGCGAGATGCATGTCGGCTGCTCTTCTGGACGGGGATGGCACCCAGAGGCCCCAGCGTCAGCCTCCTCCAGGCCCTCAGCCTTCTGGGGGACTGCCTTCTCTGAGCAGGACTCATCTGTGAGGGACTAAGCACACGGGCCGTCAGCCTCCTCTGTGGGGTTTACTAGGAGGGGCTGCTGCCTGGAATGTGGGTCTTTCAATCCAAGCCCTGAGGCTTTCCAGTCACTTGACTGACCTAGCACTAGACCCCCATCCACGCTGGTCCCTGCTACTCAGTCCTCTTAGATTTCCAAGGCTGTGCCTAAAGCATGTACTGCCTATGTATTCCCTACTGACTGCCTGTTGCATGCATCCATGCGGTGTTGGGGCTCCCAGCGACACCCTGGACCAGGCATGACACAAGGGGACCAAAACTCTTCTGACACAGCCTCAGGGGGCTCAGACATACCCAGAAACCAAAGCCTGAGGACGTGGGCAGGGAAGTTAATATTTTTGGGAGAAGGTTACATTGTTACTAACTAGGTACACCTTAATCTTTGAAGATCAGAAGGGCTGGTGGGGGCTTCCTGGCAGCTCCTTGGCTGTAATCCGGACAACCCTCCAGCAGAGGGGTCTCTGTGTTATGTCACTGTCTCCAAGGAAATGGGGTCCTGAGGGCTTCAAGAAGCAATATGCCACAGCGCCCCTCCAGTGTGACTGTGAGTGGGGCTGGGGGCCACAGGAAACGCACACTTAGGCCAGCCTCCAGTTAGAGCAGGACCTGTGGCCTGGACATCACTTGGCTGCTGGCTTCCAGGATCCACCCTGCTTCCCCCTCCTCCTGGAAGGGTCTTCAGACCAGCCTGGGTGGACCCAGCCCCACCCCAGCTCTGGCTCAGCACTGCCTGAGCCCAGGGGATGCCGGGAGTGGAGTTCAGGAGTTCACTATGAAGCTGGCCTGGGTCCTAGGCCTGGCTCAGTGCCCATAGTTACCTTTACTGCCTGCCTGTGAGTCCCATGCCTTCCACGGACAGCACCTATGATGATTAGTACTGAAAATTAATGAGTATGGCTCATGGACTCACTTCATCTTTGCTATTCTGCCTAGCAAATTCAAACTATAAGTGAGTCCACAGCTGAACCGTATTACTTATCAGAGGCCTTCAAACACTGCTCTTGATGACTTCTAAGAAATCTCACTAACCTTGCCTTACCTCCACCATTAATCTAGTAGGAGAACCCTTTGACTATGGCTCATTCTCCTGATCTAATATCACCATTATGCTTTTAGGACTTAGTCTACTAATGACAGCCCTCTACTCCCTAAATATGCTGGTCATGATACAATGAGGGACACTTACGTATGACATTAACAGTATTAAACCTTTCTTTATGTGAGAAAATACATTAATACTGATACATCTTGTGCCTCTCTTCCTGTTACCCTTAAACCCTAAAATTACTATGGGGCCTGCATGCTGTAGCTATAGTTTGATCAAAACATTAGATTGTGGATCTAACACTAGATGCCTGCACTTCTTACCTACCGAGGAAGCATGCAAGAGCTGCAGACTCACGCCCCCATGCCTAACAACACGGCCTTCCCAACTTTCAAAGGGTTAGAGTCATGCGTTGGTCTCAGGAACAAAAAGCATTGGTGCAACTCCAAATAAAAGTAACAAATGAAAGTATTCTTCCCCTGCCATAACAGCCCTCATCCCCTAATCTTACCGATTGCTGTTACCTTAGCCAGCCCCTGCAAAAAAGGTTCATACGCAAATGATATAAAAACATCTGTGGCATGTGCCTTCATTCATTAGTCTCATCCCCACAACAATGTTCATATACACAGACCAGGAAGTCATTATCTCCAGCTGACACTGAATGACAGTCTAGAATCTCAGACTCTCACCAAGCTTCAAACTAGGCACTTCTCCACAATGTCTGTCCCAGTAGCACTAATCATTACCCATCTATGGTAGACGTCTCGATATATAAACTCAGACCCTAACATTAATCACTTTTTCAAATACTTATTTTCCTCATCACAGTATGAATTCTGGCTACCGCCAATCAATTCTTTCAGCTCTTTATCAGATGAGAAGGTGTAAGAATCATGTCTTCTTACTAACTGGCTGACGGTGCAGGCGAGCAGATGCTAAACCCACCACCCTCCAGGCAGCTCTGTACATCCGCATGGGCGGTGCTGGCTTCATCTTAGCTTCCTCCTGTTCTCCAACACGTGAAATGTCAACAAACATTTATTCTGGACACTATCCCCAACTCCCTTCCATTAATTAGCTTTCTCTCAGCAGCAGCAGGAAAGTCAGCTCAGTTCGGCCTTCACCCTTGACCTCCATGGCCGTGGAACGCCCAGCCTGGGTCTCAGCCCTGCTCCACTCCAGCACTATAGCTGGGGCAAGAAATTTCCTGCTCATCCACTTCTACGCTTTAATAGACAATAACCTATCAATCCAAACCTTCACACTATGTCTGGGGGCTATGATCATCTTATTTACAGCAATCTGTGCTCTGACACAAAATGGTATCAAACCAGCTAGGCCTTATAACAGTCACAATTGGCATTAATCAACCACACCTCGCATTCCTTCGCATCTGAACCCACGTGTTTTCAAAGCTATATGATTTATATATTCAGGGTCCATCATCCATAACCTCAGTGATGAAAAAGACATCCTAAAAATAGGAGGACTGTTCAAGACTTTGTCCCTCAGGTCCTCCTCCCTGAATGTCGCCAGCCTTGCACTTACAGGTATGCCTTTCCTCACAGGCTTTCACTCTGAAGACCTCGGCGTGGAAACTGCAAACACATCATGCCCCAACTGTTACTCTGATTGCCACCTCCTTAACAGCTGTCTACAGTACCCGTATTATTTTCTTTGCTGTAATAGGACAAACTTGCTTCAGACTCCGGTTACTATTAACAAAAATAACCCTTTCCTAATTAACTCATTAAGCGCTAACAGCCGGCAGCATCTTCGCCGGATTCCTCATCACCAACAGCACCCTGCTTCATCCTCCCAAGCACCCAGCCCGCTCCACCAACAGCA